TGTCATATTCTTACAATAGTATCTGAAACATGCCCATCATTTCTCTTGGTTTTCTTTGTTTGATGTTTTCCTTATGCATACTAGAAACGGTCTAAGCCAGGGGTTTTCAGGCCCCTGACAGCACCTGGGGAACTTGATAGAAATGCAGATTCTCGGGCTTCAGATCTACTGAACCAGAAGTGCTGGGAGAGGGTCCTAGCAAACTATATTAACAAGCCTGCCAGGTGGTTCCAGTGTTTAAGAATAACTATGCAAAAGCCCAAAAGGAAGAATGAATTAGAGGATCTGGGAGGTTTGTAATCGGAGATTTAGAGAATCCATATGAGAAGATGGGTAGAATCTGGATACCAAGGGCCCTTTATCCACTGAAGAATCTTTGAGTGAAGAATCAAGGCAGTGTTCTGGAAGGTTAATGCCTAAGCAAGAGAAGCAGTCAGCAGGTATTTGTTGTCTTGATGTACTGTGCTAAGTCCAGATACACTGAAGAGAAAAGAGTTTGGAGGTAGATCAGGTGATGGGGAAAGAAAATTAATAGCATGTCTCTTTACATATGTATCTTGATGTAATATAAGACTTACAGTAATAAAATAGTATCTTTACACAGGGTATCTCATTTAATTCTCAAAACACTACTTTCCAACACTTAGAGTAGTTAAATAACTAGCTCAGAGCTAATGCATAATGAAGTTAGTTTTTAAACCAATGTTGTCTTCTTTCAAAGCTGACTCCATTGCTGTTCATCTTCCAACAGTGTAGGCATGAATTTAGATGTAGATGGCAAGAACAAAAAAGCAAGTGTCAAAAGATATTTCAAAGTAAGAATAGCAAACATTTGATAAGTTATGGTGAAGAAAATGAGGGGAAAGTTACAGTGACTTCAAAGTGACTGGCTGGAGTGACCGGGCATGAGTTGGTCATGCATGCATTGAGCTACAGATAGCCGAAAGCCTCATTGAAAGTAGCTCAAACAAATAGGGGTCATTTTACTCACTTAATAGAAAGTCTGGAGATTCTGAGGGGTTTTGGTTTAGCAGGCCCGTTGTCTCTTTGATTCTCTGAAGTTGCCTTCAAAGTCCCAAGATGGCTGCCTCAGCTCTGCGTTTCCCATACAAATGCCACCCTCTTCTGTCCCTTTACAAGGCAAATGTTTTCTGCTCAAATCCCCTTGACCACCCCTAGCTGGAAGAAAAACTGGTAAGGTTAGTGTTTAACTTCTACAGCCTCTAAAGTGAAGGTAGGCAAGCGAGAAGAGGCAGAGGGTATTGGGTAGCATAAACCCCCACTTACTCTGAAGGTCTGCCATCGTGAGTAGGGTGATGGGCGTGTCATGGACTTTTGGCTCAGTTCTGATGCTGTTCCCACTCCTTAGTAACAGAGTGACTTGGTTGCTTTTGATGAATCTAATTTCTGTGTCTGTATAATTAGAGTAACACCATCTAGGACATAAAGTTGTAAGGACTAAGTGAGATATCATATGTAAAGCACCTGGCATAAGTGGATACTAGATAAGTGTTACCTCCTTCCTTTAATGTACATTCACATTTTATTGAGCATCTATTTATGTGATCAAGCTCTAGGGTATTGGGAAGAGTAGTGAGATCTGGGTCTCCTGGGTCCTGTCTTCAAGAGACACAAGATCTCACATGAAAGATAAGCTCAACCTGAATGGGCATTTACATAAAATAAGCATTTAGGTTGAGCCATATGAAACTCACATTTTAGGTTAAGAAAGCAGTCAAATATCATGAATTTCCACTGGTTCTGTCTGATCGTTACAATGACATATGATGGATGTTTTGACAGGACATAGAGCAGGAAATCCTAACCTCATCCATGGGGCAAAGAGGCGTCCTTGAAAGTGACATCTGAAGCATGGGCAGGAGTTGGCTGGACAGGGAAAGGAATCAGATGAAGAAATAAAGATCTTTTGGAAAACAAAATATGAGCTGTTTAAAAAAAGGAGTTACCTCACCTTTTATGATTCCAGTGATGAGCCCTCTAGGGTATAAATGACTGATAGCTAGCTTAATGTTTTACTGTCTAAACGGGATACACATTTTAAGAGTTGTTCATTAGCCCAAAGGACACATTTCTAATGGTGAGATTTCAGTAGGGGAATTGAAAGCCCCTTAAAATAAGAAGCACTGGCTGTCTAAATTGACTGTAAGGCAGGCACTCCTAACTGGTATTAGATAAGGATGGAATTTTTCATGCTCCAAATGATGCCTAAAGCAGAGTTGTTTTCTTTCAACAGGGTAATGCCTTCCAGGGCCCTCGGAAAGCAGATATTGTGGCAAGAGAGAAGGTCACTGATTTGATCCAAGCCCAGGCACAAAGGATTCTGGCCTTAAAGGAAGAGATTGTTCTTCTGCGTAAGAAAGGTGGCCTCATCCTTCCACCCATTCAGCCTCCACTAGAGAGCCAGATGAAGCCCGAGAGCCTTTAAATTTGCTTTTTTCTCAAATCTATCCAAGATTTCTGGCATATAATTCACCAGAAGCTTTGTTTCCTTATTGTCTGCAACAATCCTTTTAAAGTGAACTTGCCTAAAAGTTTAAAACCAAATCCAGTCATATATTTTTAATAGTTTGTTTCCAATTTGTCTTAGAACTGACTGCAGGACCCAACATCTATTTGTTATTGAATTGAAGCATTTTAGATATGTTTGGAACCTACTAGATGGAGTCTCATAAGACTGTATCTCAAAACTGCAAGAAAACATCTGTACTATATTCTGTCTTAGGAAATTTGTTTTCTTGTTATCTGAAATTTTTTTTAGCCATTGGCAGGAAAAACTGTAATTCAGCAATCCATGAGAAAACTTTTCCAATTCTTGGATCCTTGGAAAATAAACTTTGATGTTATTAAGTATTCTCTGGGAGGACACAAGAGAAAAAGACAACTATTTTGCCAACAAGATCTCAGAATAAAAAATGCAAATCAGAATTCTGACATGGTTAACTTCATAAAGCAGTTATCTGAGGGCTCAGGGTTCAGGAAATGAAGACAGATCAGATACAGCAGAGCAGTTTGCTTTGGATTGGCCGAAAGCAGGAAGATTACCAGCTCCTTGAATCACCAGTGTTAGCCAACTCATCAGTTCTGAGTCGAATAGTTTTGCAAACTGGTCGATAAAGAGGCTTTTCTCTGAAGGTGTTCGCGACTCTGTCGGTATTCTAAGTTCCCATTGTTTGGCAAATGCTGTGCTATTTTCTTTCAGGTTCTACTGGATGCATTTGCTGTTTTTGACATTGATCGAGAAGTAGTAAAAGAGATCACATCAGTCTGAAAGATCACCTCTGACAATCACTTTTGATTGTGCAGAACCTTCTCAACTAATTTGAGAGTAGCCTTTAGTTTGTGAGTAAATGGCCTTTGGAATTTATGGCTGAACCCATCTAAACATGATCTGACTGGTATTTGCATTCCTGTCAGTAATAGAACATAGCACTTAAGATTCTGAGCTCTCTGGATTTGTATTAATGAGCTACTCCATTGAGACTGTCCCAGAATATAATAATCTGGTTGTTGAAAAGGTGCAGGAGGCAATATTGCATCAATGCAGAAAGTGACTCAGCCATGTCAAATCTTCCTAACTGTGGCTAGTCTCGTAAATCTGCACCCCTAAAATTAGACAGGATTTGCCTTCTTTGTATGTTAGAATTTATATACGATAGAGATGGCCCCTTGGCTCATTTTCTAAGATTCTTTGACATCCCTTTTTAAGAGGTCCAAATAGGTTATGCCTGTCATCAGAAATCTCTGCTGTAGTAGCTGCTTCACAAGAGTACCCTTTCATCACTTTCTCTGCAGTATGCCCTCAACTCTGGGTGCCTTCCAAGTCTTTAAAAAGATATGCTAGTCACAACTGTTTTATACTTATTTATTGCCGCAAAAAAATTATCCCTGAAAATAGCTTTAAACAACAAGTATTTATTATCTCACCCAGTTTTTGAGGGTCAGTCGTCTGGGAGCAGCTTAGCTGGGTGTTTCTGGCTCGGAGGGTCTCATGAGCTTGTGGTCAAGCTGTGAGTTGGGGCTGCAGCCATCTGAAGCTCAGCTGGAGCTGCACGGGCTACTTCCAAACTCACTGCCTTGGCTGTTTGGCAGGAGGATTGTTCCTCACTGGTTGGCTGCCACAGTGAGCAACTGCTGAGTACAGTGGTTTGTCTCTAAGGGACACTACCCCCTTGGTGGTGGTGAGAGCTAAGGGAAGTTATGCGTCATCCTGGGCCTCATTGTACCATCTGATACATGAGGGGTCTGGACAAGTTCTAAGGCTCTTTCCCACTCTGAAATTCGTGATTCTAATGGCAGCAAGAGTGAATTTACCAGCTGTGGATGAGCCGTGTCAAGAGTTCCATGTGCATTTCAACTTAGAGCAAAACAAATCAGGATTATTATATTTCCCCAAACTGAACTAGACTATATCACTACTTAAGGCTACAATATTTAGGCCTTCATCTAGTATGTATGGAATTTGATAATGTAGTTAACATGCAATTATTTTTATTTTGAATTAGACAAGATATACAGATAGCCTTAGTTTCATTTCTACTTGATTCCAGACTTAGTTTTGAATCCATAATTAAATATAAGCATCTGAGTCTTCGGGAAGTTCAGCTTCCACAGGAGCCCGATGCAGCTTTGGCTGGGGGTGGGTGGAAAGTTGTCCTGGTCTCCTGATCACATGGTTCTCTGCCTCCTGCTGTGCTCTTAGACAAGGCAGCCTCACTGCTGAGAGTGAGCCCCAAAGTCAGTCTACACTTATTTGTTAATATAACTTGACTAATTTGAACACTTGTCCATTCTATCAGTGACTCTCAACACTGGAAAAAATCCCAAACTAGAGTCCAGCCCTTCTGTCACCGCACAGGAAGAGGGGTTACTGATTCCTGCCAAGTCAGCCGGTCCTGCCTGGGAGGGCTGCCGTGCTTGGGGAGGGCTGGCCCGTGAGCTGAACTCTGACCCCCACCAGCTCTGACCACTAGGTCTTATTCTTTCCTTTGGTAACTTACATAGCCTTTGTCCACTGAGTCAGACTTTAAAAAGGCATTCTAATAACCTGAATTTAAAGAAATACAAAATGCTGTGAAATTGAATACCTGAACTGTTTCAATTTCTACCCTTAATTTTTAAAGCCTGCTGCCCTTACTTGTCCTTCTCTACAACTGACTAGGGTAAATATGCACACGGATCTCATTTAATGTGCCTTGGAAGTGCTTTTTCTTTTCTAGGACTTTTTGAGAGCTAAAACCGTTCAGTGTTAAGAGTTCCAGTGCTGTGTAGAAAGCAATTTAACATATCCTTTCTGTAAAGTTCACCAAAATTCCCTTGGTCAACCACCTGCAATCAAGAAGAAAACAAAGGGAGAGTGTTTAAAAAGCCAACGAACTCAAAGGTGAGCTGCCGCCTGGATCTGAGGGCGCAGGACTGGCTCAGTGAGGCAGGGGTCATAGCAAGAGGCCTCCAGGCCCAGTGCCCAGGTGTCTGTAGTCACAGCGTCCCTGCTCTGCTTCTCCTTTCCTATCATTTCATGCTTCATACAAATCCGTCATATTACTTCTTAAAATATTTTTAAAATACTGCTTTTCTGGAAATCATGCGGCACCTTAATGAGTGTTCTGTTCCCAGGGGAGCTGTTGGTGGAGAAAAGAACCACCTAAGAGCGAGCGCTGTGCTTCTTCTGGCCAGCAGAGGGAGCACTTGTCCCAGACTGGAAGACTCATTCCTGGAGTTTTTCCTGGGATCTTGTTTATCCATTCCTGATTGTGAGGCCAGGGGTCTGGCATGAGGACTCTTAACAAGATTAAGTGTCTCAAGTGGCATTTCATCTGTAACTCACCTTTACTGAGATCCAGAAAATCTGTTTCCGTCCTGAAAACAGTTGAAGTGTGTGAGGGCTTTCGTTGCAAGCTGCAGCCTCCATCTATTTCCAGTTGCATATAAAAAGGTTGATCCTGTGTAAGTAAATGCTTTTAAACAACTAGTGAGTCAACTCCTCTGGCAATGTTGGTGTATCTCTGGAAAGAAGGGAAGTGAATTTCATCAGGTATCCTATGTTCACCTATAGCATTTTGGAGAAAATATTTAGTTTTCGACACACACCTATTATAGAAAAGATCGGTTTCATTCCTTTGCTATGACCAGAGCTTTACTTGAAGTTCGGGCAGTAAGAGAAGTCTGAATCTGTTGCTTCTTGCCTCCTGCACCCTGTCTCCCTCTTGGACTAAACAGTTACTCATGCATTCTGCATTAATAAAAACACAACTGACACGAATGTATTCAAAAGACAAAACTACCTTTTCCAGATCTTATCTCTTGATGTATTTGAAAATGTTGTTAAGTGGGTGTTTTCTTCAAATATTCAACTGAATCCTAACTGCTAAAGAGAATGCTGAGTCATATGTGACTAAGTTGAAGGTTAACGGGGAAGACTAAACATTTATTTAGAAGTTACAGTGTTTGTTTTTACAGAGATATGTTGCCACAGATAACTGATTCTGGAAGGTTTGTTAATGTTTATAGTATTATACACATGTTAATCTATTCTCATGGGCATCTTCTGGAAACGCTTCCTGTAGCACCAGATCCAGCCGTCTTCACAGGTGTCTGCAGCCTGTGGCCCTTGCTCTTCCCTCACAGTCATCATGAAAAACGTGCCTGGGCTTCTTCCTTTCGTAAGCTTCTCTGGGCCTCTGCAGCCTCTGAGGCTGGCAAGGGGTTCTAAGTGAAGGCTGCCTCCTCCTGCTGGGTTCTTCTTTTCCGGGCGACTTCTGTTATGTTGTGACTTCTTTATGTTTCCTCTCATACCTCAATGGCTAGGATTCCCTATGTCTCTCCAGAATTACAAAAACACATATACATTTATTTACAAGTGCATAAATATATAAATATGGCTATTATAGAAAAATAAATACCAATTTTCTCTTTTTAAAAACCATAATGTATAGTCTTTCTGGGCTACTGGCTTCTGCCTAAATTGCAGGAGGTGGTGTTTCAAAAGCCACGTGCACTGATGGGCCAGGGGAGAGCTGCATCGAGAGTTCCTGCCCTACACGGGACCCTGTGCGGCGCTGAGGACACCGGTCTCCTCCACCCACTTGGCAGGAGTCAGGATTGTCCACCTCTTCAACTGGGGCAAGCCCCAAGCAGCATGGGGGCCCTAGGGAGAGAGAGGTGGGAAACATTAAGATCCAGACCACCACCAGGGGAGCTGGGGCCGCCAGTCGCTGTCTGTGACAGGTGTCTGTGCTGGCCCTGAAGGAGAGCCAGACCCAGCAAGGGCATTCACGTGCCCTCCTCCATCTCACAGATGTGGGCGGGCCACTTACTATCCACACCACTCCTGGGTCCCAGCCTGCTCAGTTTCCCACCCTGCCCTAGCACAGACCTGGGTGAAAAAGAGGGTCCCGCGTTGCTTCCAGCCCAGGACCTTGGGTTGCAGCCCTCATGCCTGGCTGGCCGGTGGCAGCACCCTGTTCCTGGAGGCGGTGGCAGTCCCTGCGGGGCTGGAGCAGCTGGCGGGTTGAGTCATGAGGCAGTGTATATAAGAAAGAGCCCTCATCCGGGTTAGACCTGGGACTCCTGCGTGCATGAGATCAGATGGAGCAATGAGGTAGGTGCGGAGTGGGCTCACGTCCCCACCGCCCTGGCTGCTTCCCTGTTGGCACCAGAGCTGGTCAGTGCTCAGCCAGGCCAAGGGCTGCTCCCCTTTGAACACCAAAAGGCGCCACACTCATCTCCACGGGTAATTCTAGACTATTTCCACTTTATTCTGTAAAGTCCTGAGTGTGTGAGAGGACATGGAGTCAGTCGTCCAGGGCCTTTGGGCAGAGCCAGCTGTGTGGCTCCTCTGGCGTGCCAGGTGAGTAGCTCCAGAGCAGAAAGGGCCGAACATGACAACTACCCCTTAGCGCAAGAGTCCAGTGGGGTGGGCTGTCTGAGCAGGACTGTTGGGGAAGTGCCAGCTCTCACCTTAGGGACCCATGCTGGGAAAGAGAAAATGATGGGGCGTGGGAGTGGAACACAGGGATGGGGCAGGGCCTGGTTACCTGGGAATCTGGTGACGGGGAGGGTCATATCTGCTGCCAAGAATGGTCTGCCTCAGCAGGCTGGGGGTGTCATCCTGCTGCTCGAAAGAAAGAGTAACAAAAAGATCACATCAGAGTCCAGGTAACTTTCCTGTTCACTGTTCAGCAGATGAGCTGTTCCTAAGGAAAGCTTGGCCCAGCAGCCCAGGATGGAGGCTGGAGGGGAGGACAGCTGGGCTGCAGCCCAGCCACTCTGCCCGTGCTGGCCTGTGCCTGCAGGCCCACAGACCCAGAACCACATTACCTGCTGAGGCACCCCTGGGCAATGCTGCTGAGGTTTCATGCCTACATAGCCCATGGCCACTGCTGGGCAGCCCCTGTTCCCATGCACCCCACCGGCGCAGGCCCGTCCACTGGTGCCACTGACGTAGGGCTGCCCATTGGTTTGGTGGCCTGGGAGTCCTCTGAGTGGTACCATAGTGTATTGGCAGGAGGAAGACAGAAGGGCACTTCGAGGAAAAGCCAGGTCCGTTGCATGTTCTGGAAGGACAAAAGGACAGGGGAATGCTTAGGCCAAGGAGGCCTGGGGGGGCTTGAAGTCCCACATGAACCTCAGAAAACTCCTGTCCACACATGGGGTCAGATGAGGTCAGCAGGTTCTCATGATGCTGCTGAGGGATGAGATACTTTCTCTCAAAGTACTCTTCCTGCCACCTGCTCTTCCTAACACCTAGATGTTTTTACAGTGGGGATCAGGGTAAGGAGATGCAGGGGGAAGGGTCTGGGGGAAGAGAGTGGTGAGCAAACAGGGGGAGCAACATTTAAATGAGGGAAGCCGACCCGATGTGCTGCCGTTGGAAGCAGAAGTTAGTGGCTAGCAGTCAGATTAGCCCAGGATAAGAGGGAAGCAAGAGGCAGCCAAAGACCCAGAGAGGAGGCAGGGCCAGCTGCAAGCAAGAGTGTGTGCTCTGAGCAGCGGCTTCAGACATTACAAGGAGCTGGAGCCAGATAAGCACTGAGCTCCAGAGAGGCAGAGAGAACAGACCAACGTCTGCTTCATACTTTCCATCTGCCAAGGTCCATGGGCTGAAGGGAAAGGGAGCTTGGAGTTTTCTCTGCCTCTCTCCCAGCCCTCTGGGGGACCCGGAAGTGTGGGCTCCAGTGAATGTGACAGGGTGTCTGTCCCCTCCCGTCCCAGGCAGAGGCCTCCCTTGGGGGCTGGGAGGCGCCTCCTCCCTCCGTAGGGTCCCTCCTGTCTGTGCTGAGGGTCACACACTCACTTTGCTTAGACCAGGCCCTCCACAGGCAGAAGGGGATGAAGGCGACGATGATGAGGACGACAGAGCCCAGGACAACCCCGACAATCAGGTAGGGCAGGTCGCTGGCGCGCGCTGCCATGGCCCCCGCGCCTCCCGGCCGCTCTGCAGCCTCAGGTGGTGGTGGCTGACGGGGGGCCCTTGTCGGGGGCGGGAGGCGACCGGGCTCACCAGAAGACTTCCGGGCTGTCGATGCAGACAAAATTCACCTCAGCATCTATTTCTCTGACATTTCTTTCACAAGAAATAAAAAAAAAAGTACTCTTCCATGGGTGTGGGAAATGGGGTCACACTCACAAGACTCCAAACCCTCAGTTAGATGAGTGTGGTGTCCAAGCCAGCATGAAATTGGCATCTCATGTGAAATTTGATATTATTGAAGAAAGCGGAATCTTGCATTTCAAAATACAACCTGAAATATATGTGAGCCAGGCACTAGAGTCAGACTCTTTTTGGGCTGAAGTGATGTAGGGGTTTTTTGGAGGAATAAGGTAGTGAACTTTTTGGAAGAAAATATAAAAAGTGCATGAAATTTTCCCAGCAAAAAAACCGGGAATGGAAGTTACCCGTGGACCTGCTATTCCTGGGTGAATTAAGAGACGTGGAGTACTAGGTCTGAGCATGGGTGGCACAGCTGGGTGGACGCGTTGGGACTTCCTGGGACAGACTGTCATGGCGAACTGCCAATTCAAGGGTGACAATTCAAGATGGCAACCCCCTCGTCTGGGTTTTGCTATTATCAGGGAGTGTCTGACATCGTTAGCTCCTTTTCACAGCCTTCAGCCCCCTTGACTTCCCGACACTACAGTCCTCTGGTTTTCCCACCTCTCTGCTGCTGCTTATGTTTCTTTTCTTGCTCTTCTCTTTCTGTCTCCTCAGATGCCGGGAGGTCTTCCTGGTCCCCTCAATCTGCACTCTGTCCTGCTCCCAGGATGTCAACCTCTGTTGCAATGACTGTCAAGGACTGCCCTCTGCCCAGGGCCCTCCCCGAGGCAGGAGAACCGCATTCTAGGGGCTCAGAAGAATCAGGCTCAGCGAGTCTCCAGGTGGCTGCACCTCGTTCCTTTCACAGGCATCTGCTTCCCTGGGCCCTGCCTGTTTCACTCAGTGGAGCCTCACCTGGGCTGTACTTCAAGCTTGAACGTTTACTTTGAACTCCTTTCACTCCCTCCCAGCCTAACATGCCAGCAGTGTCTGGTCCCACCCAAGCTTCCTCAGTGAGATCAGATGGAGTCCTCAGAAAAGAGACTCAAAGCCACCCCTTCTATCTATGCTTCCCGGCCCCAGGCCTGTCTCCTCAGCCCACTGCTGCCTAGACACCAGTGACCCTGCTTGACAGACAAACTGAGCAGGGTCCCTCCCCCGCCTCATAGCCCACAGTGACCTCGATGAGCCAGTGCCACCAATGTCCCTGGTCTCCTCCGTCTCATCCTCCTTCCAGGTGCCACACGCTCCAACCATCCGGAGCTACGTGCCGCCTTGCCCCTTCCCTCAGTCTGGCCTGAAGAGTCAGTCCTTCCAGAACAGCGCAAAGCCTCTGTGAAGTCCCTGCCCTTTGCCCTGGGTCCTCTGCATGTCAAACACACAGAACTTTGTGTGTATAAACCTGCCCCCTCACTTCGTCGTACATGTTGAAGAGGATGCACACTGTTTGTTGAACAAGTGACCCTGCTTGTTTTCAGGGTCAGTGCCGAGCTGGAGGGAGAGGGTTGCCAATGACAGAAAAGTGGGTTGTTTTCTTATCTCCATTCCTATTCCTCTGTGATATTCCCCTGATTATTACCTTGGTAGTAGAACTGCTGTATATACTTTCAGTATTTGCAAAGTGGAGAAAATGGTATCTATCCACTTGGCCAATGTGCAAACTTAACAAGCTATTGTATGAATATGTTTAACACGTGATAATGCAGAGAACAAGTCTGGGCTTTAGTTAGATGAACTTGGCCCAAAGCATATGCTCCACTGCTAACCGGGTGCATGAGCTTGGTCAGGCTGTACCATTTCCTGATGCTCCGTTTCTCTCCCGTCTCATGGGGCTGCAGTTAAATAAGCCAAATGTAAGCACCAAATGTTACCAGAGGAACACAGTGCTTACGGAAAGTTCCCAACTTAGGAATGGGTTCTATGCCATGAGTACCTATGTGAGTTAATTCCCATGTTCCTTAAAGCTATCATGATGGAAACCCATTCATACTTAGTATGAGGCACAGGCAAATGAACAGAAGGGTTAAAAATGACAGTGTTTAGGGGTGCTTAGAAAATAAGGCATCTTCCTGGGGAAGAGCTACCCAGCAAAGTCACAGAGCAGTGACTTTGTCCTAGTTGGCTGAAAACATCAAGAGGAGGGCAGAGAACCCCTGGAGAATCACCTTTGGTTTCACAGATCATCACGTTGCTGAACTCACTCTCTCCTCCTTCATTGAAGCACTGCATCTTAATGTCGTAGGAAGTCTCTGGCTGCAGGTGGCTGATGGAGTGCCAGTATCTATCTCCTAGGAGAGAGCAATGGTCATCTGTCTCCAGTTTGCTTGGCCTCTGATTGCAGCGACACTCAGACAGGGCTGTGTGTCTGGGCTGGTGCCATTTACTGGCACAGCAGGCCATACGGTGGAGGAACAATGGAGAGAGTGTTCGTGGTGCCCACCCAACTTCCTGTTGTCCCATCACTCAGGGAAGGAAGCCTGTGGGCTTATGAGCTTGATAACCCCAGTGTCACAGAAGAGTCAGTGATATGGGGTACAGACACAATGTGTCAGAAGCCCAGGTTTTATACTTTTACCAACGCCTAGCGCCCCGTGCCAGCATGGGAAATGGTATCGCACAAAGTGTGCCTCACCTTCCACCATATCCTTGTGTCAGCAGCCCAGGTTTTATACTTTTACCAACGCCTAGCACCCCGTGCCAGCATGGGAAATGGTATCGCACAAAGTGTGCCTCACCTTCCACCATATCCTTCTTGTAGTCGCTATCGTTGTCGCTGTCTGTGGGTCGGTAGTAGATGTAAAAGCCATGGATCGGGGTGTTGTTATTACTTGCTGGAATATACTACAGGAAATGGAGCAGAGAAATCTGCATGTGAGCAGAACCACAGGTGGATGGAAATTTTACCCCATCCAAGAGTTTAACGTTCACCAGGGGATCCTGGCAAACCTTGATGATGAGGCTCTCTGGAGAATGCTTGGAGGCATCATTATTGTATTTAGTCACGAGGTCTCCCAGCTTTTGGAGACAAGAAACAAACTGCCATTTCTCTGAAGACATAAGTCCCTTCTGAATCTGCCTGGGTATCATGAGGCTGAGTCCCTCTGTTCCCAGGTTCATGGGTAAAGTAATACTTGAGCGGGGAGGTGTCTTAGAAGAAGGGCCGAGTAGAGGAATGACTCCTTCCTGTCCCTGCTGCAGCAGCCAGCTCCCGCCCTGCACACAGCTCAGCCCAACTTCCCACTGCAGGCCGAGCAAGGCCGCGTACCATCCACTTGAGCATGATGGTGGTCTCATTGACGGCGTCAGTGAAGGTGATGTAAGGGCCTGCCACGGGCCTCTCGTACACGCGGCTGCTGTAGCCCGACACCACATAGGGCCGTGAGGGGGCACTGGGCTCACTCTCCCCCAGCATGTTCAGAGCCCGGACTCGGAACTTGTAGGAGGTGCCTGGTGAGAGACATTTCCTGAACTCTGCAACTAGGAAATACCTTTGCAGCCCATCCAGGCCCAGGACATGGAGGGATTTTCTGGGCAGCCTTTTCCCAAAAGCAAGTCCCCAAAGAACTCACTAGGATTCCCATCCTTCTCAGAGAGGATCCACACAGGAGTTGGCTCTGGACCCTTACGGAGAAAGCGGAAGGGCTATGGGACTGAAGGGCCACCACCAAGGGCTTCCACGTGAGCACGATGGACGGTGGACAGCAGGCAGGGAGAAGAGCCTGCAAAGGCTCCCCAGGGGTCGGGGGCAGCCCGGGGACTAGGCAGGGCACACAGCCTGGCCCCTACCTTTCTCGAGGCCTGTGACCTCCACTGAGAGCCGGGAGGGAGGGATGGCACTGGTGGCCAGAGCCCAGTCTCCCACTTTCTTTAGCTTCTTACACTCCACGCGGAAGGACTGGATCGGGAAGCCCCCGTTCCCGCGGGGAATCCAGGTCACATACACGGATGTCTCGGAAGCCATGGAAACAGTGGGCCTGTCTGGAGCTTCTGGGGCTGGGGGAGGGAAGCCATGCATGAGGGCGGGAGGAAGCAGGAGAGGGGACACGATGAGAAGATAGTTGTATCACAAGTGGCCAGGGCCTTTTCCTGGTAGAGGCCTGCTTCTCTCCACAGCCCTCCACTCCCTGGTGGCTGCGTTTCAGGTCTCCTGAAGGCTGGTCACCCTCTCCTGGGAGGAGCGCTTGTACTAAGACCTCTGAAAGCTCTGCTTCTGAAACATCAGAGTGTGGAGAGCCAAGAGCCCCTGCTCTCTCCTCCATGCTCTCTGGACCCACAGGGTCAGCAACCCCAGTGATGGGCTCCAGTGTGTATTTAAAGAGTTCTAATCTATGTTTTCTTCTTGTGGTTAACTGGGGAGATGCCCGGAAAATGTCAGAAGGCCTCCCGTACTCACAGAACCAAGACCCCATTCAACTTGCAACAAAGAGCCTTGCGAGGCAGTGGGCCGTGTTCCGGCTGGGACTGCTCGGCACCCCGACCCTTGGGGTTGCTGGGGGCTTACGGGAGAGGCGGCTGTGGTCTGGCTGGCTGCTGCTCTGGGGACTGGCTCCAGGGTCATCCCTTTGGATCTGCTGCTCCTTGCTGGCCATGATTTCAGGTTTGGGCCGCCGTCCTGGGGGGAAGCAGGTTGAGATCAGTAAGGCAGCAAGCATGCACTACGTCTCCCTTTCCACAGATTGCTTTCTGCCTGAGACTCTGCCAGGGGGTCTGACAAGGCAATGCAAATACGGGACATTGGAAGTGTGGGCTGCCTGATTGTCATGGTATTGCCCAGTATGAGGCAGGATGCCAGAGAGGCCAGCTAGTGGCTCTCTTGATGACAGGTAGGACCTCAGTCTGAGCACACAAATCACAGAGAGGCCACAGCTGAAAAGAAGATAAAGTTCACGGTGAATAGCTGTGACAAGGTGAGCGGGTTTCCCACCTGGGCTCACAGAAACCCTATGCTGGGGGCAATGTTTGATCCTTACCAGTTCGGAAGGTGACCATGGCCGTCTGGCCTTCACCCGCACAGTTGTAAGCTGCCATCTCCACTTCATATAAGCTCCCAGGGTCCAGTCTGGTGAGGGTCAGGTGGTGCTGGTTGGCTGGAATGCCAGAGATGATCCAATTGTCAGAGGAGTTGGTGACCTGTTGGAGAAGCGGCTGGTGTAAGAACCAGTATCTTGGCCTGGAGGTACTGGTGGGCTGTGGTTTGCAATTAAAGCAGAACTGAGTCCCAGAGGGCAGGAGGAGGGAGAGGAGACTGGGCCAGGCTGGGGGAAGGGTGCCACAGAGCAGACTGGTCTGCTGGCTCTGGGACATGTATCCTCGCTGGGACAGCAAAGTCAGGCTCCTTGATCCCTCATTTAATGATCCCAGCAAAAACACTCAGTTGGGGGGGTGGGGGTCGAGGTCTGATATTGCTGAGAATTTCTCCAAAGACCTCCTCTCTTTGCAATTCCAAAAATCCCTGTATTTTTCTCCTTGCTCCCTTCAAAGCAAAACATAATTCCATCAGTTTATATTCTAATGAGATGATGATGATAATGATAAAAAGTAGCAGCACCACTAGAAAGAGCCACATTTGCTGAGTGCTTACTATGTGCTAGGCACAGAGCTAAGCACTTTATATGCTCTATAAACTAGGCGCTTTATATGACAATGGCTCAAGAGATGGGTGTTAATATTGTTCCTACTTCACAAATGAGGAGACTAAGGGCTAGGAGATGCGTAATCTGCCTAAGGCTATGTTGCTAGTGAGTGCAGAAACCGTGACTTGATGCCAGAGAGCGTGCTCATGACCAACCTATTCTAGGCAGAAAATGGGTTGGGGAGTCGGAAAATCCTGGGTTCAAATCCTGATTTTATCTTAGTAGCTGTGTAACCCTGAGCAAGTTCCCTAACCTCTCTGATCCTTAAGCCTTTTGCTTCTAAAATGCGGTAAATGAAACCTCTCCGGTTACTCTGAAGATTAAATTCGATCATTTATATGTGTCAAGCACCGGACTTGGCATGCAGTAGGTTCCCAGCAAATGCCCAGCTCCTCTCCTGATGTCCCCCATACCCTCTACTCGGTGAGGTTTCGGCCATTTCTATCCTCCCTTTTTCTGCTCCTGCCCTCAGACCTTGCTTAGAACTTAAAAACTGTGGATGAATTATGGATTACTCCTTAATGGCTTCAAATTTCCAGCTCTTGAAATCTAAAGAAAAAAATATAATAGCTCTAGGCTCCCCAGCAGGGGATGCTGAGAGGTGGCTTCACCCTACCCACCCGACTTATCAGGATGCGAGACTGAACCGCCCACGGTGCCCATCTCAGAGCCTGCCAGAGCCTCGAGCTGAGGTTTGCTGAAAGAATAAGCAGCTGGTCAGAAGAGCTCTTCTCCCCAAGCAGAATATTCCGAGGTAGAACAAAACCTGCTATTCAAGGGACAGGGATGGTCTGGGCTCATTCATGTCAGGCTTCCAGGATATGTTCCAAGGGGAGAAGTTTTTACAAACTGAGAATTCCCAGTGGTACTGGAAACCCAAACACAGTAGTCCAGGGTCTGCAGATGCATCAGGAAATGAAACTTGCTTCATACATGCGAAAAGTGAAACTGAGCTGAATAATTCCCAGTCTCCAGCAAGAGAAGGGGGCTGGAAAAGACACAACCCAAATGCTGATTTTTGTTTCAGAATCTTTCCTTGTGTGATGATCTTTTGAGGGATCTTTAACTCCTCAAAAAAGGAACGGCTCTCAAGACCTAGTTTCTGCCTTGGCAATGTCCACCTACCCGCTCTAAGGGCCCCACAGGCTGGAGCTGAAGGGAAGCCAAACCCAGTGGGGGCACTGTGCCGCCGCTTCCCCTGCATCCGCTTCTCCCTCAGCCCGCCCAGCGCTGGCCTCACACTTCCACTGGGCTCAAAAATGAAAATAAGAAATGGACTGGTAATTAGTCACTGTCACACACACTGAGAGGGTGAATGCAGCCTCAGCCTGGCATTTCCGGATCACCATGCAAGGCCTTTGCCAGGCTGTCTGTTGGTGAGGCTGTTTTTTGGCCACCTATTGGCCTGAAAAGTATTATTCTTGCTCGCACGCTGATTCTTGTCTCCTGGGGACCATGCGCATTTGGCCTGCCCTGATCTTTGTCTACAAGTCCGGGAGGGAGGTGTCCAGTTACATGGGGAAATAAGGACTAGGACTAGGCCTGCCCGGTACCCTGGCTGAACAATGTGGCTTTTTGTTAAAAACTGATTCACCCCCCTTAGCTGACTGTGTCTGCAGAGGCCAGCAGCCGGGGGATTAGTGAGGAACTGCCCACCCCAGGCCCCCACCCGAGCAGGCTGCTTTGCCATAGGTGTCTTACTGATGACCTCAGAGTCTCTGGGGACCAGCCCCAAGCCACAGCCTTCTAGGAGAGCACTTGAAGGGAAAGGACTGAGTGAGAGGGGCTGCCAGGGCCCAGAGGGAAACGGCTCCTGCACAGCCAGCGATCTCCATCGTGCAGGGCCAGTTAGTGTGGTTGGTTTTGGAGGGGGAAGAAGAGTTGATAAGTACTTCTATTTTCCATACTTTCTACCGAGTGCACATAGCACTTTTATAAGCAAAAATAATACGAATGCGTAATAAAACTAGCATTTATAATGCATTATTCTCAAGATTAATAAAAATCCATTTAAGAATAATAATTTCCTACTGTCTGATAGCCTTAAAAAGGAAGCAGCATGCACCTGGGATGAACAGAAATGTTTTTCAAGGACATTTTGCTTAAAGAGAATTTTATGGCCTTCTGCCCTGCGGGATCATGAGATGACAGCAGAGCCTTAATGAGGTAGCAGGCTGGGGGCCCCGACCTGCCTCAAGAGACATGGTGTTCAGGAAGATGGGCCAGCTCAGCTCTGTCCCCACACCCTGTCAGAGCCTAAGATTCCCTCCCTGACAGCTCCTGAAACATTCACCTGGACAGGCTTCCTTCTGTCCAGGAGAAATAGCTGAGGTCTCTCCAATATGAGGTGCTTCCAGCTCAAATACCTGCTTGTTGAACCCAAGCCATAATGAATCCTGAGCACTGAGGAGGGTATTTATAACCCTCAGAGAAAACACTTGTTCACAGATATTTGTTTTCCTGGCTCTAGGGCAGATTGGCCATGCCAGAGTTCCTGCAGGTATGGACCTAGCAGAGCTTACATTGGTTAAAACATAGCAAGACAACTTTAGCAAAGCATGACAGAAGGAGGAGGAAGGATGGTGCGGGGCTCACAGGGAGACCGGTAATGCTCCCTGGGACTGGAAGCTGGTGATGGCAGCCTCTGGAAAACCAGCATGTAGAGCTCAGATCTGAAGGCACACACACAGCTCTTTCTTGGGCCTCTTAGGATCCCCAGCACCCACCTCACAACCAGCTTCCAGGGAAGGCGCAGGAGAGTACCATGGAGGAGACAGGAGGTCATGACTAGCATGGGGATTGCTGGGCAAGGCCTCAGGAGCACCAGGAGAGATGGCCAGCAGGCAGAACCCGCACCCAGCTCACTGAGACGAGCTCGCCATGCCAAGCACACCATACCTTCCGGTGTTTCACCACATAGTAGAGGATCGGCACCCGGTTGCTGCCCTCATGCCGGGGCCGCCACACCAGCTCATACGAGTCAGTCTTGGAGGTCCGGGGTGAGCTGAGGATGATGGGTGCCTCGGCAGGAGCCACCTGCCCCTTCTCTCCGCACTGCAGGGAAGCTGGCTGCACGGACGCCGAGGGGCCCAGGTGCCCCTTCAGCATCTGGTCAGAGCTCCCAGGTCTGGAAGGTGGTGTGGGAAGTGTGGCAGTGTCCGGCTTAGCGTCCTGCCATGGCCTCAGGGTTGTGCCTGGTGGACCAAGCAGGAAGGAGAAGGGAAGGAAGACGATGTTAGTCCCCCTGGTCACCTGCTGGGCTGTTGCCCCAGGGAGAAACCTGAGAGAGAGGGCAGAGAGAAGATCTGCCAGGACAGGAAGAGCCCTCGGGACCCGAGATGGCTCAACACACAGCCAGGCTCTGTGTCCCTGCCCTGCCAGGAGCGAAAGGCCTCTTGCTGAGGCCAGCAAACTGCTTTTCCCCCTGAGCCACACTCCAGCCCCATCCTGAGTGATCCCCATTTGCTCCTGAGGGGCAGGAGCCCTGTGCCCTTTTTCACATGTCCCTACTGGGGGTTGGGACATGTCCCTTCACTGTGGGATCTTAACAACACGGCCCAACGTGGGCCCTTTCCTGCTCCACTGCAGTGACCTGGATGTGACATGAGATGTGAAGCCAACTGTAAATGCTCTCTGAGAACCCAAGGGGCCCAGAGAGGCTATGCCTCCTTCAGGGAGCACCCACAGACTCTGCCGATGGTAGTTTTCCCTCTACTAGACCACCTGCAACAGGGGGCAGGATGGGGGGCATCTGACCATGCTGATTCAGCCTTTCTATTATTTATTGTCATGATTTTCTCAAATTCTTTCAGAAATAGGGCAAGGTCTTTGTTATGTGTCTCTGCATCCCCCACACTGCCTAACCCAGTGCTGAGCCCACAGTAGCTGCTCAATTGATATATGTCAACTGAAATGAACCAAGCTGAGAAGGACAGACTGGCTTTTCCTTAGAGTGGTGGCTGTCAAACTGGGTTCACGGAACCCTAGGACCTCTCAGATAGACAAAATAATTTAAGAGGGTTTTTAATGGGCCATTTTTACTAGTGAAACTGTGCACTTCCAACTTTTGTAATCGTTAATGTAAATTTGAACCCACAACTAAAAGCCACTTTCATCTATTTTTTATATTGGGGTTCTAAGCTGGATTTCATTTGAAAAAGGGTTCTGTAAATGTTCAGCTAGAATCTCAGCCCTTGCGCTGCACGCACCTGGCCTGGCGGTCCTCAGCTGCACCACGGCATGAGCACTCCCAACTTCATTCTCGGCCATGCACTGGTAGACCCCTTCGTCCTCAGGCCCCACACTGACCACCCGCAGGGCCCTGTGGGACAGGCGGAGGCGCTGGCTGGAGGCGAGGGGCACAGCATTCCTCAGCCACAGCACGGAGGGCGGGGGGTTCCCGCGCACCTCACAGGTGAGCTTGGCGCTCTGGCCCCATGGGATGACCAGCTGGGAGAGCTCCACGGTGACCTCAGGGGGTTCTGCCAGGAAACCAGACCAGGAGTGAGAACGGCTGAGTGTTCCCATCTAGGGCCAGACAGGGGGAGGGGCTGCAGGGGCTGCAGTCAGGAACGGGTCCCTCCTTCCCTGTGGCTTCTGGTAGAAGGAAGGAAAGGTCCCGTGTTTCCTCTATCAACAGTCATGACAGGAAAGGGGAGAATGAGGGCTGCCAGGCTGTACACCCTAGTCCCTAGGCCCCAAGGATCTCCGACTCTCTGTATTCCTCCATCACTCACTCGGCACATGACCACCCATGAGGCACGTGACTCTGAGCCTTGGGTTATGAGCTTCTAGGAAGGCCACACAGGTGAAAGAGAAGGGCGAGGAGAAGAAAGTCTGCAGGAGACACTCACCGAACACCTGAACGTTGTAGAGGATGACGGCCGCCCCAGGCTCACCAACCCCGTTGTCGGCCATGCAGCGGTAGGTCCCTGAGTCCTCCTCACTGGTGGTGTCGATGAGGAGGTTGCTCAGCAGGAAGCGTGTCTTGTTGTAGGCAGCCACACTGGACCCGTCCTTGGCCCAGGTGACCCGCGGCGGTGGGATCCCACTGGCCACACACTCCAGGATGAGACTCTGGCCTTTGGTGACGATGATGGCCTGGGCCTCAGGTGGGTAGATGATGCGGGCAGCCTCGGCGGTAGAGCCTGAAGGGCCAAGGAGGGGCAGGGCAGCGTGTGGGACCAGGACTTGGTGCAGAGGAAACCCTCTGCCATGCCTCGGGTGGCCCAGCCCAGGAGGCAGTCCTGGAGCACAGAGTCGGACTCAAACAGCCCTTTAGGGGCTTGTGATCTACGTAAAGTGGGGCAAGTTGCTTCTGTGGGCTTTGGTTTCCTTATGGGGAACAAGGCCCTCCTGCAGACAGCTGTCATGAGTAAAACATGTGCACAGTGGAGCAGCAGCAACACAACATGGTCTGGATGGCTGTGAGTGAGCAGGAAGGAAGGGTGAGGCCGGCAGGCCGACGGCTCACGTGGTCTGGGGGGGGTTCTCCTGCGTGCACTCAGGAGGCGTGCCTGAAGCCAGGGATGAGATACAAGGATCCTACAGGTCTCTCAAGCCCCAATCGTGGGTCCCAGTTCCCAAGTGTTGCTCACACTGTTTAAAGATATGCATTTCTCATACAGTACTGCAAGATCCCCTAAGAAAATCACCTATTTCATTCAGTGCTCAGCTGAGGAAGGAGCTGGAGGAGAAGCCACACAGAGCTTACTGAAAAGCGTGTTGCTCTCTGATCTCCCAGGGATCCCCAAGGAGAGGTTGACTATGTGTGATTTTGCTCTATGTCCCAACCAGGGTCAGATCCAGGTTTTATAAGACCTGAACCTTACACAGCTTGGGAGGCCCTCTTTCAGAAAAAGATTGCAAAATCATAGGTATAAAATTGGCAAGTGAGGGACGACTGGTTTTGCTTCATTAGCTTCATAGTAAATCCATCTCTGGGGCCAACTCTAAAACCTAACTCCACGTAAGATGTCACTCCACAGAATATGTAGGGAGCCTAGAAAAGTGCCTGATACACAGGAGGTGCTCAGCACAGGTAGCAGTTGTTTTCACATAAATGGGGGAGTATGTGGGCCTCCATGGACTTTCACCAGAGGATGGTGTTAGGTACACCTCATCAGTGCAAACCACTGGTATACCTCAGCAGTGCAGACCACTGGAGGCACAGCCTGGCCCCGTGCCAGACAGCGCTGGCAGCCTCACAGAGGCGCAAATGCACCACAGCCTTTTCTGTCTACATGCGGTCAGCTGCTGAGTGCCAGACTGTCCTGCCCCAGCACACACATCCCAACAGATCCCCCCCCTTTGAAAGTAACAGTGAAGGATAGCACTGGATAAGCAGGGGAAGGGAGTGTCCCTCACAGTGCCCTGATATGACAGTAAGCATAGCCACCCACCAGCCAGGTGAGGGCCATGTGCTACGAGAGACTAGAACGTGGTCTGGATGGAGGGGAGAAGAGCCTCCCCACCCTGTCAGAGTCCAGAGTCCTGGATGTCCGCCTGGCCTGGGCCCCACAACCACAACTCCTACCTTGAACACAGACCTGGAGGCAGCACAGCTGTGCCCCTCCCCACCCTGGCCCCCGCAGGCTCCTCCTCCCCGCACAGCTAGGTGTCCCCCAACCAACATCAGCGACCCCCCGGCCCCCTACTACTTACGGCGCACACGCAGCCTGTCACTGGAGCCTGAAGTTTTCACTTCCTGGGTCACTGGGTTGTAAGCAGCACACTTGTACATTCCCTCATCCTCCTGGCTGGCGTTCACGATCTGGAGATTCCCCGACGGCATGATCAGGTAGTTACCTGAGCAGAGGACAGGGTGAGGGGGCATGGGATGAGTGTGGGCCTGGAATACTGCACGCGGCAGCTCCTGCAGAGGTTGGGGGTCAGGTAGGGCAGGAGCCCTGGGCTGTACACCCGAATCCCAGTAAGTGCAAAGTGGAAATGCTGTTTTCTCTGTAAAACCTCTCACCTAGTGGGACAGAAGTGCCAGGGATGGGAAACTAGCTACCCAGCTACCATACCGGCTGGCGGCCTGATCCCCCAAGTTAGCACATGGGTCTATGGAAGAGCACTGTACACTTTCAAGGGAGCTGGGGTAGGGAGGAAAGGAAGCATTCGGGGGCTGCCAGACCTGGGCTCAACCTCTGGAACAGCTGTGTGCTAACTGTGTGATTTGGGGCAAGTTAATTAACCTCTCAGATCCTGCTTCCTCATTTATAAAGTGGCATATTGTGTGCTGCCTCCGAGTCACGTAAGAATTGAGGGGCTTGGGCTGTGTATAGGGGAGATAAGGTCATCTTTCCTGCAAGCTGCCAGGAAGGAGGGAATTGCCTTTAGATTTTCCCTTCAGTCTCTGTCACGGTCACAGCTCAGCGACACCTCACTACTGGACTGCTGTGACCAGGACGGAATATCCTAACCCCCAGTCACTGCCCACTCCATGAATGTCCACTGAAGCCCTTCACTGCATCGCTGGCCTGCTAGGCTTTGTCTGGTCTGGACAGAGGGGCCGTGGGGCCTGAGGGTTGTGTTCAGCTTCATTCAACAGGAGACAGATTCACAGCTTCTGGACACCCCAGCGACTGGGTTGGTGTTCAGCTTCCCAGGAGGCAAAGCCCTGGCTGTCACAGCTTCCTGGTGGCCTGCCTGGGAGTCGAGGTGTCTCTGCCATCCAGGCTCACTGCACCCAGTGCCTTCCTGTTACTGGGCCTACCCCAGTGTGAGCTGTGCAGGCAAATGCCAGACAGAATGGGCAAAGCCCTTGTGCCAGGGGGACCCCAGGGGCTGCTGCCAGGCTTCTCTAGGGACCACAGAGGTTAATGCTCTCCTCTCAGTCTCCAGTTATTTCTGGGTGGCAGGATTAGGGGTTTTACCCTTTCAAAAAATAGTTTTCTATAGGGAACATACATTCTTTTCATAACTAGAAAAAGTTAAAAATATTTTAAAATCCACAGGATATTTAAAAGGTATACATTTTGAGCTGTGGGGCCAGTCAAACAGGGTCTGCTTGGCCTCGAGTGCAGGGTGTTGTGGCAAGAAGCTGACTCTGTCTTGGGACACATCAACGCTCCTTGCTGGCACTCTGTGGACCAAAGCGTGGCCTCTGTTGTGGCCTGAGAGGGAAGTTGTGGCAGCTGCCATAGCTGCAAGACCAGGAAGATGGGGAGAGTGAAGAGCTCAAGTTCTGCCGCAGACTGCTGTGCTGTGTGGGAAGGGCTCTGCCTCCCACCGGGTGACCCTGGAGCCTCAGGGACAGCTGGGTTCATCAGGCAGCCTTTCCATGGGTGTGTGGTGGCAGGGAGCTCACACAGGGGGGATCTGGACCCCTGTGCAGGAAGCCCTGATCAAATGGCAGCAGCTCAGAGGGCCTCAAAGAATGGAGAAGTTCCTCATGACAGGGCAGAGGACCCCACAAGGGAAGCCAATCCTTATAGGTCCTAGAGGGCTAAATACCAATGTAGAGGGTGAATGGCCAGCAGGCAGAGGGGCTGCCGATATGCTGATGGGTGTTTGGGAGGCTGCCGTCAGACGCAGCCGGTGTCCCTCTGGCCTGGGCCTCCGGGCTCCTCTTGCTCACTTACCTCTGGATGCCTCCAGCCACTCTTGTTTGACGCTATATCGGACCTGGGCTTTTGGGTGGCTCTCAGGAAGGTGGCAGGCAATAACTGCTGTGTTCCCCTCGTCAACTTCAATCACATGCTGCACATCTAACTTGAAGTCCTGAAGATCTGCAGAGAGAGGGATGGGTACCAGTTGGGCCTCGCTGGAGGAGAGAGGCAATGCAGCGTTCCAGGGGGCAGATGCCTTGGTGTCCTTAGTCACAATAAACAGCTGCAAGGTGCTCTTGGGTGCTCTGAGTCCTTCCCCCAGCTGTTTATTGTCTACAGGAGTTTGTAGAACTGGCCCTTATCACCACATAGGAGCCCAGCTCCGTCTAAATAAGCTGGAGGGTGGGGGCGGGTGTAGAGAATCCATCAGGAGGTGCCTGTGACACAGACCAGCCTCCTGTTACACTGAGACTTGGGGGTGAGCTAGCCAGGCCTGCTGGCCCTATAGAACGTGGCTAGAAATGGGTCACCGTCAAGGCACAAATGTGCTGGCACAGCTCAGCTAATGGAGAGGGGAGGGAACAACAAACAGAATGTGATGTCTTTTCTCTAGTTCCAAGAACAGCCTTCCCCAGTTCTTCTCAGATGTCCACTGAGAGTGACAGGCCCGAGATTGTGCTTATTTGCCAACCACAGTTATAACCAGAGGCTGACGGCTGCTACCCAGGAGCTATGCTCTGTGTCATGGCACCTCCTTTCTAAGGGCTGGGGATGGGGGGGGGGGTCTGTGGACGCCCTCTGGGCTTCCTAAGACAAAGAGGGATCTTCCCTGTGTGGCTTAGTGGCAGTGCAACGTGGGACAGCCCAGGGTCCTGACACCAGGATGCCGTCTCTGGCTGCAAGTGGCTTTCTCTCCTAACTCGGCTCAGGCAAGACCAGGATCTAAACTGGGAGAGGACGGAGATCCTTCTGGAACAAGAGAAGCATATTTCCCAAACACTCCAATAGTCCAAACAACACAACTCTTTTTGTATGAGTCAAATCACTGATGCTACTTAACAAAATAGGCCATTTGTGTAACAAAACCAAATTCCAAATTTGGTTGTCAGGATTATAGCTGAATTTAATTTAAGAGAGGAAATAAAGCTAATGTAGAATAAGATAAGAAAGAGGAAAGTATTTACCTAGACCCTCTCTTCATAAAGGTGCATAGAGAGTCCTGGAGGCTCCGTCTCTGAATGCTGACCACCCCAGATTCTGCTCAGCTCCTGAGAACTGATCCCATCAGGGCTCACTGCCATGGCACCACAAGACTCCATTTGCCCATGCCTTGTTCCCACTGACACCCAGGGAAGGCAACAGGAGTGGGCGGGAGTCAGGTTTCTCCCAGAAGCAAGAGGTAATTACCAAAACAAACTGCTGTCACCACAGGAGAGCCCAGTGGGCAAGGCACTCAGGTCAGGAGGGTTCCCACTTAATGGAACTTTCCAGAAGCTCTTAGTCAAGCCAAGTCAGGTCAGGAAAGCCCCTTGGTTTCTATGAAAGGATCACTGTCCCTTTGATTACAGTATTAGATTGTGAACTTTTTAGGGATAAGGATCAAGTCTTGTCCATATATGTGTCCTCTGAACTAACCCAGGGCCTGGCCCATATAGACACTCAGTAAACGTTAAATGACTGAATGACTGATTATTTTGGAACCTGGGCCCCTCAAGTCAGGTACAAGGTGACCATTTTTACCTACAAACTCAAATTTCCTAGTTGCATTCAGTCTACAATGTGAGCTCAGTCAAAACAAGGGCCTAGCACAGTATATTTTCTATAAACCTTTTCTAAGTGCAGCTGACCTTTTATCTAAGTGTGGCTATTTTGAAAATAAAATGTTTCTTGACAGGGTACTTCCAGGTCACCAGAAAGAGGTGAAATAGGTTTAATGAATGTGAAATAAGAAATATATGCTCTGCATGAGTGGTAGGGCAAAAACGATGACAGACTGTCTGATTCATTTTATTGCCTCATTTCACTTTCCAGGCTACACAAGTGATGCCTGGTCAGGGTGAAATCTCTAGTGGATTCCTTCCTTTGGGTGGGTGTAGAGCTTCCAAGCTTTTGAAGAATTATCTCACTACTATTATATTTTGTGTGTGTGATATCTGACCCTAACTAAATTGTAAATTCCTAGTGGGTGGCCTACTAAATTTTCAGTCCGTGTCCCAACCCCATGCCCCACTGCACAGGACTCAGGGTGGAGCTCATGCTCTCTCAATTCTTGCTGAATGAATCAACAGTTGGGAAGGCTGAGCCCGAGGCTAGCTTCCCTTGTGTAACCTGCACAGTAGCACAGGCCCCACTATTGGAAGGCTCCAGTAGCCTTGGTTTAATGATCTACTGTCACTGTCTTGAAATTTTTACTAATGTTCGAACAAGGGATCCCATATGTTCATTTTGCACTGGACACTGCAAATTATGTAACCCAGACCTGGCTGAGCTTCTGAGCCAACACAGTGGACACCTTTTCTCCCAGAGAGGAGAAAGGTACAGACTTGGAAAGAGGTGGATGGCCTGTGCTCAGGCTAGATGTTGCCAATTGCTTTTCAGAGACAATGCACAGGCCTTAATCCTCAGCACAGTACGTGCTGTACCTGCTAAGTCAGGAGGCACCCCACAAAGCAAGCCATGAGCAACTGTGGGCTCAGAGACCTGGAAAATTCCTGTCACCGAGGAGCCCTCTCTGCCATGGTCTGATAAACCTAAAACTACTCCACCAAGAGTTTTTGAGGGTTTTTTTTTTCTTTCTCCTTTTCTTTACCTCATTCCAAGGAAATTTGCCTCAAGCAAGAATATACTTAAACCTAACAGATCATTTTGCAAAAGATGTGAGCAACTGAAAGGGGTTTGGCACCAGAATGCCATCTCTATCTTACTGGCCCCGGGCGGCTGCCCCATTGTAACTGAAGGCTTATCCAGGCACAAAGCATGCATTCCTCCATGCACCCACCTGTCCGACCCAATCCTAGAAAACAGTCTGCCCCCCCTCCAGCCCTTCTTGGCTCCTTCTGCACTCTTTGACAACTGCTTGGTTGGAGACAGAAGGCTGTGCAATGGGGGAGGCACAAAGCTGGATATTGGTCAGCAATGCAGCCAGACAGCCCCTCTGTTCTGATGCCAACATGTGCACAACAGCCGGCGCGGGCAGGATGGAGGACACCCCAGATGGGCATCCAGCTCTCCACAAGGGCCTACTGGCAGGCGAGCCTTCCTGGCTTCAAAACAAATAAGCAGTAGTTCGGTCCGTGGCCTTGCCCCCTCCCTGTGTCTCTTGAGCTTAAGCCTTCTCTGGTGCTTCACTAGGCAAACACTCCCAATTTGGCTGCTGGAGCAAAGTTGCGTTTCACTAAGGGATCAAAGGCAGAGCAATGATGTGATGAATGATCTGAAAATCAGAGCACCCGCTTTGCTCATGTTTTCGAGCAGGAAGGAGGCCCCGGGAGGGGTGGCGACTTCATGATCAATAAGAGCCTAATCAGCCACCAGATGAGGCAGACGCAGAGATCTAGCTGGCTGCCTGTGAAGGAAACCAGCCTGTTCCTAGGCCCCTTTGTCTGCACAGCCGGTTTCCTGGCGAGCCCCGAGGCTGCTCAGAGGGCCTCAGTAGGAATAGGGGGCAGGCCCTTTAGTTACAAATGGGGTAAGCAGGCCTGGCTGCAGACTGATGGATCAGGTTTCATGGGGAAATGGTTTGACAGGACACCTGCCCTTGCCTGTGGGCTGGTGTGTTTGAGAAATCCATTAGAGAAATGTTTTTGCAGCTTTAATCCTCTTACCTTCTCTAAGACCCCTCTTTTGCATCCTTTCTTTGTGTATTCTTTCAACTATTTTATTAACTTGTCTGGACTAATTAAATGCCAAAGGCTCCCTCTTGTTTCTCAGCTCTCAACAGGTCTTTGGGGCTATCTCTCAGTTAACCAACCTTTCTTGTCACAGAATTTTGTGCTTTGTGAGTAAGCCCATAATAGGTCAGCTCCATACAGAACCCTGCCCAGCCCCTTCCTTCTAAGCACTCAGTTTGGGGGGGGGGTCTGTGGACGCCCTCTGGGCTTCCTAAGACAAAGAGGGATCTTCCCTGTGTGGCTTAGTGGCAGTGCAACGTGGGACAGCCCAGGGTCCTGACACCAGGATGCCGTCTCTGGCTGCAAGTGGCTTTCTCTCCTAACTCGGCTCAGGCAAGACCTGGATCTAAACTGGGAGAGGACGGAGATCCTTCTGGAACAAGAGAAGCATATTTCCCAAACACTCCAATAGTCCAAACAACACAACTCTTTTTGTATGAGTCAAATCACTGATGCTACTTAACAAAATAGGCCATTTGTGTAACAAAACCAAATTCCAAATTTGGTTGTCAGGATTATAGCTGAATTTAATTTAAGAGAGGAAATAAAGCTAATGTAGAATAAGATAAGAAAGAGGAAAGTATTTACCTAGACCCTCTCTTCATAAAGGTGCATAGAGAGTCCTGGAGGCTCCGTCTCTGAATGCTGACCACCCCAGATTCTGCTCAGCTCCTGAGAACTGATCCCATCAGGGCTCACTGCCATGGCACCACAAGACTCCATTTGCCCATGCCTTGTTCCCACTGACACCCAGGGAAGGCAACAGGAGTGGGCGGGAGTCAGGTTTCTCCCAGAAGCAAGAGGTAATTACCAAAACAAACTGCTGTCACCACAGGAGAGCCCAGTGGGCAAGGCACTCAGGTCAGGAGGGTTCCCACTTAATGGAACTTTCCAGAAGCTCTTAGTCAAGCCAAGTCAGGTCAGGAAAGCCCCTTGGTTTCTATGAAAGGATCACTGTCCCTTTGATTACAGTATTAGATTGTGAACTTTTTAGGGATAAGGATCAAGTCTTGTCCATATATGTGTCCTCTGAACTAACCCAGGGCCTGGCCCATATAGACACTCAGTAAACGTTAAATGACTGAATGACTGATTATTTTGGAACCTGGGCCCCTCAAGTCAGGTACAAGGTGACCATTTTTACCTACAAACTCAAATTTCCTAGTTGCATTCAGTCTACAATGTGAGCTCAGTCAAAACAAGGGCCTAGCACAGTATATTTTCTATAAACCTTTTCTAAGTGCAGCTGACCTTTTATCTAAGTGTGGCTATTTTGAAAATAAAATGTTT